AATGCCAAACTGCACCTTTATTTATGACAGCTCTGGATGAGTGTTAATTATTAGCTGAATGTAGTGTGTTCTAGAGGCTGTTTGCGTTACAGCGTGGGAAGGGCCACCTGCGTGTAAAATGTGTTTGTAGGCAGAACAGCAAAGAAAACCACTCTTACTTCGGAAGAGAATAGGTTGGCTTGTTGTTGTTTCTCTTCACTACATACAGAGTTTTTCTTAACGTCGTATAGCCATAATAAGGGATTTGCATGAACTTCTTTAGGAGGCTATATATTTAAACATGATTTTATTGAGAGGGTGGATTAGCACGGTGATAACGTGCAGCAGGTATGTAGGAAGTGCTGACGACATCAGAGATACTTATTGCTAATAGTTGTTTGGACTTCTGGAGTAGGTGTTTTCTTGTGAAGCGTCTCTATTGAATCAGTGTGGCAGTTTGCAAAAGGGAAAACTATGTGGCATGGAACAGAATAGTTTGCTAGACATGAAATGTATTTGTTGTGATTTTAGGAATGATGGTCCGAAGAGGCTTCCTTTTGTCGGGTTACCAAATTGGAGTTTTAGCTCTGTAAGGTTATTTAAAAGAAAAACAAAGAATATCGATGTGCTTTATGCAGGACTCTGTAAATGTGCTTTCAACTACTAAGCAGTACAAATGTCTTACCATTCTTAGAGCCATGAAACCATTCTCTGGGTACGTACGTGTGTTTTGCCTATTTCCACTTATTTCTGATTAGCTGCTTCACAGGGATATCTATTCTTAAACAAGCTGGCAAATCTTTTGTTGTGATGGCTGTGACTATCTACTTTATTAATTTGCAATCTCACTTTTAATTGATCTACCTGGAAATAGGATAACATAATTATTTTTCTCCCTGGTTAGACAGTGGAGAATGTAGGAAAGGAAAGGGATTCTGGGCTTGCTAACACTGACCAGGCTTTAGCAGTCTTCTGAATTAAATCTGCATTGGGTTTTCGCCCTTGTGATATGTGCCTCTTTGCACAATTCAATTATTTGAACATTCTGAGTTAAGTGACAGGTTAAAAAAATGGTACAGCATGGAAATGTAGTAAAATGAGAATCAGTCACTTTGCACTAGAATACTCTATGAACAATCCTCATAGAAAACATGTGGTATGTGGTGCAACATCTGATTTATATAATTTTGAGGTCACCTCCTTATTTGGCCCCTGAATTAAACGATTTGATCAAGGCAGGCAGCCTCCCCTTTCACAGGAATGCAGGTTACTTTCCATAGCTGTTCCAGTTGGGTATGTTTGGTATTTGTGTCAGCCTTCGACAAAGATGTCTAGTGACATTAAGTATGGTGCAAGGAAATACTGGTACTGGAAAAATGATAGAGAAGTCAGTTGCCAGGATAAAAGTATGCAAACATTGCTGTATTCTAAGGCTAAATTTTGCTTTTTGACGTGCATACAGGGACAAAAAGCCATAGACAGAATGGGAAATGCAAGCCACTTATGGTCAGGAAACATCATCTCCTTCCCATACCGGGAGAGCCGGCTTTCAGCAAGACTTTCGCATCCGAAGCTGGTGAGGCAAGAAGGTGCTTCTTGGCAGGATGGACCAGCCTCACCCCTGTATTATTCTCATTTCTGGCTTGAATAAAGGCATGTGTGCTCAAAACGTGAGTGTGGGGTAGTGTTGTGCTAGTACATAGTTTAGTAGTGGACTTGGCAGTGTTAGGTTAACAGTTGAACTCTATGGTCTTAAAGGTCTTCTCCAACTTAAATGAATCTATGATCTGATGATTCTGCATAGATGACTATCCTAGTGGATGTTGGTTTCTGTCTGTCATGGTACTAGACGAGCCATTGTTGTAAGGGTCTCCCAGGGTATGGGAAGAAAGATATGCTGGGATTTTGGTCTCCACATTATTTACAGGGCCTGATCCAAAGTCACTGACACCAATTTACTCCAGTGGTCTCTGACTATAACCAGAATTTCTCAGTGTCCTAGAAGGAAATGATTTGATGGATTTATAAAGAAATTATTTCACTTCTCTGAAAGTGTAATTGTTAGTGCCCCTACGTATCTGAACCTGCATCCTGATTGCTCTCTCAAGTTCATGTTGAAGTATTTGCCTACTGTCTATATGTGAATTTCTGAGAGTTTTGATGAAGGGCAGAAGAGATGTAGCTGTGTTGTAAGAGGATGAAAAGTGAAAACAGGATAAACTTGTAAAATAAAGATTGAATTTGTAGGCTTGAAATCCATTGAACTCATCCAGAGCACAGTACAAGGCAAAGCCCCTTATTCAAGGTCTGCTAGTTAAGTGTACCACAGCACTGTCATGATCCATCAAACCTGCCAGATAAAGAACGGCTATTTTAAAATTCTCCTTCAGGGCATGGGGAAGTACTGTTCTTGTGAAGACAGAAATTTATGGTGATGCTAAAAAAAATGCAGATGAAGTGAATAATTAATGAATTCAAGACAGGACTGAAATATCTCCCTAAAATGTTGCTATTTTTAGCAGGGAGTGCTTCTGCAGTGCTTGTCATGTGATCCTGTTGCCTTCCGAGAGCAGGAAAACAATTTGGATTGGTTTCTCTTTCCCCATCGTCCTACAGGCCCAGCGTATAAAACCCCTTAGCATCTCCTTCTGCCTTAAAGCAAACAAAGTGGTTTCTAAACCTCATGAAAATAAAGCACTAATGGAAGCTGTACTTAAAGACAATGTTTATAGCAGCTGAATGTTTTTTTTACAGTAGCTTGTACACCGAGGCGGTACAAGGGGCCTACTGCAACGTGCGTAACTCTCAGCTGCTGCTAGTATGCATTGCTGCTGCAGCTTCTAGCTGTCAAAGGACGGAGAGGCAGTTAGCCACAGGAGGCGGCAGGATCTGGCCCGTAGATAGGGATTTAATGTAAAGAGATTTGTGCTTCTTTTCCCTATAACCAGTATGGAGTGTTGCTGTGTTTGAGCTACTTCACACATTACAAAAGTTATAGTCAGAAACGCCTCTAAAATAAAATGTGATATACAGCGGGCCGGCGCGTGCGCTGACGTTTCCGCACGCCCTGGAGCCGCGGGGAGCGAAGTCTGGCGGTCGAACCGCAGGAGAGGGTGCGAGGTGTGGGTCTGCCATCGCCTTCTCCGCCACAGGCTCCCCCTGCCACCCCGCAAGCCGCAGCCACCCGGGCCCACGCAGGGACACGGCCGCTGCCGTAGTGAGTGCTCAGGTGTTTAACGTGTGAAACCTGGTCCTGTCAGGGGTTTCTCCTTCCTGAGGGGTGATGAAGTTCCCAGTGCCCATCAAAGGGGAAGTCAGGAGCTGCTTGCTTGCTGCCTTTCTTGCCTACTGGAGTTGCCACAGGTTGAGTTTAGAAGACACCTCCAAATCCCAAACCTTTTGGTGGCGAAGAGGACCCTGGCTTTGCAGCCCAGTACCCAGCTCATAGGGGTGCAGAGGGGTGCTGGCTTGCTCTCCCCACTTGCAGGGGTTGCTCTCCCCACGTGGGATGGTTCCTGGGTGACTCCTGTAAGGTGCATGGAGCTCCTTGGACCTGGCTGGGACCCTGGTCCCCAGCCCCGGCGGGATGCAGAGCTGTACCCCGGGAACAAGGCGCTTGCCATGCAAAGCAGCAGCGACGTATCTGGGCTGAAGCTTTTTTTAGAGTTGTGAGCTGCGTCCCGAGCAGCAGAGGTGGCCCCCAAGGCACCTGCAGCCCCAGGGCAAGCTGCAAGCTTCGGTGATGGTGGGTTTGGGGAAGTTCTTGGATTAAGCCATGGATGGTGGCACCTTTGGGGCACTGGAGCTGGAGCTGCGGCTCCTTAGTTGTGTTCAGGCACACATTTATGGGTTAGGGGCCGTAAATGCTTTGCTTCATCTGGGCCTTGGTCTCCGTTTTCCCTTCTCTGTGTATCTACCTGAAAGGATTGTTTTAAGAAGTACTGGCTGTAAAACACGTGCACAGAAGTCTGCGTTGTGTGGAGCTTTGTAACAATTAGAAATTGGTCCTCAGCTGGAAGCTGAGTTTGGTCGATGTGAGTGCTGTTCAAGTGAGAATTCTTGTTATGAAAAAATGTATTAAATTATCAGTATTATATTTTTTTTGTGCCACCTAAAAAGACTATTTTCAGGCTTATTTTCCCCATCTTTCCATCAGCTTTCCCATGCTAGAGCTCACCACCTTTTTTGCAGTCTTCCTGCTCCGTCACTTGTGTGAGCCCTTCCTAAAATGAATCTGGTTATCCGGTGGCTGCTTTTTAAGCAACCCCCATCTATTTAGACCGAAAGGGTGTAGAGGGGTACACACAGATTGAATAAGTGGGTGAACTGGAAGGAATGGGAGTCTGTGGCAGGGGGATCTGATGGGTGGTTGATGTCTTCAGCGGGTCCTGTCAGTAGGACAGAGCACAAGGACAACCCTAGTAAAGCAATCCTGGAGGAGTTTCCTCGCCTAAATTGCGGATGGGGTTTGTGCTCCTTGGGTTGTGGTTCCATGATACAAATAATCCAAATGAAGGGTAGTAAATTGTAACTTTTTAAATTAATGAAATGCATGGAGTTCTCCATGCAATAAAAGGACGCAGAGATTTTAAGGCCCTGAATTGTGTTACAGCCCTACAAACCAGTTCTAGTTTTCTTTATTTATGTCTGTCTGTTCGAATGCCTGCACTCAGGATTGAAGCGATTAGTTTTACAAGTCCAGTAACGTCTTGTGAGCTGCTTGGGAATGATTAGAAATTAAAATATCTCTTTTAAGTTTTGTTGTTGCTGTTTTGATTTGGGCAACGAGGCTTTTGGAGAATCATTTTTGCTTCACGTGGAGTTACCTGCCCTTGTGACTGCTTAATGAAATACTGAGCAATACAGCTTTACTTAACTAAAACTGGGAATATTGAAATGGTTCATTTTGCGAATTGAGCAAGGAGGTACTAATTTCAAGCCGTGAAAATAGTAATTCTTTTAAAAATAGCTTATTTTTGTGGCTATCTATCTCCTTACTGCCTTTTCTTTTCTTTCCATAGGAAAAATTAACCCAGGAGTGTGTATTCAGAGAGCAGTTTGAAGAAAACTGGTATAACACATATTCATCAAATCTATATAAACATGTGGACACTGGAAGACGATACTACGTTGCGTTAAATAAAGATGGGACTCCAAGAGAAGGGACTAGGACTAAACGGCATCAAAAATTTACACATTTTTTACCTAGACCAGTGGACCCTGAGAAAGTACCAGAACTATATAAGGATATTTTAAGCCAAAGTTGACAAAGACAATTCCTTCACTTGAGCCCTTAAAAAGTAACCACTATAAAGGTTTCATGCGGTGGGTTCTTATTGATTAGCTGTGTCATCACATCAGCTCCACTGTTGCCAAACTTTGTCGCATGCATAATGTATGATGGAGGCTTGGATGGAACATGCTGATTTTGTTCTGCACTTAAAGGTTTGTCCTCCTGGAGGAGAGCCTATGCCCACTCGCTTGATTTAGTACGAGAGGGAGCGCGAGAGAGTGAGTGCGAGAGAGAGAAAGGGAGAGGATGAATGGGAGTGCGAGCGCGAGAGAGAGGAGCCAAGGGGAGGAGGAGGAGGAGGAGGAGGGGGAAGGCCTGCTGCATGCTGGGGAATAGACACGCTTTTAAATTTTTGATCAGTTGTACTTCGTCA